AGCCATTTTTCAACTGACAGAACTTAATATCAAGGCAAATCCGCCATGTTTTCAGTGTGCGCGTGCACGAACGCGCGCTAATGACGCCATAAATTATGCGTAGTAAGGACGCGCAATGCAATACTGGGGAATGACCTTCAGGAAGTACGCGCTAATTGTTTCTGTGCATCGTTACTGCGCACGCAGATTAACACGCCACGTGATGCATGAGAGCGCGCGCTAAGTAATAAAATAAGCAATGATAGGGCAGATGGCCATTGCTTTAGCTTTACCTGGATTTAACGATCTTGGACGTTCGGTGACCTCTACCTTTCTTTCCAGAAACAGATTTTATTTACAATTATCTCCACATTGTCCAAAAATGAACAAAAAAATCAATGTAGGAAGTTAAAAAAAATTTTCAAGATTTCTGTCCACGGGACATCGAATCCTGCCATCTTGCGGCTGCAAGGCGCGTGAAACTATGGTCGCTAAATGCGAACTACTTCTTTAAGGAATCTCACTAGTTGCCTAAATTCACTTTTAAGTGAATTTAGGCCTATTAAAATAGGTCCACTTAAACAATATTTGGCAGAGAACATTTCACTTCAAATATCTAATTGCAATATTTGTGGGTTTACAGACACTGTAGCCTTATTCGCTAACGAAGACCGTTTTTTTTCAGATTTAGGGTGTTCTTCCGGGCATGTTCTCTCCAAAACTAAGCCGGTGGCCTCCCATTTTTTTTACATTTCTGACATAACTAACTCATTATCTTACAGTGGTAAAAGTCTCAGAAAAAAGTCAATGTTGGAAAATTGTCGCGCTAACGTCCTTAAAGGAGCGTTGCTTTAAGCGTCTTATGAAATTTCAGTTTCTCACGAAGGCTGATATGTCTTACCCCGAAGACAACGTGACCGCCGAAGACAGGAAAAGCCAGCATGTCGTGTTTCTGGGTGACAGCAAACTAAGTTATTAACTTACTTATTCTGATGTTTGGTGCTTGGCTAAACCTGAAGTCATAGTCTCGTCCTCCAAATCTGGAATCTTTTTCAAACAAACACACGTTGTCTTCTTTCTTCATTCGCATGAGTGTCTCTGCCATGTACATTCCTGAAATACCTCCTCCGACTACAACAACGTCACAGGACATGGGACGCAAAAAGGACTCTTTAACTGAGAGGAAACAAACGAACGGAAACGCAAATGAAAAGTTAAAGAGATAAATATGGGTTATTGAAGAAGCGGGAAGTGAAACTATCTTGACAGAACAAGTTAAAGAACATAAACACACTACTTTTGAGGGAACCAGCAGGCAACAACAACAACAAAAACAGCAACTAGCTTTATTTGCATGACCATCAAGTCAAGATAACCCCATATCCGCACAGATAGCAATTCGATAACCCCATGTATGTCAGGTATGGCCTGAGGGAAGCGAGTCCTGCTTAAAAAAGTAGGGGACCGAGCTAGTGGCAGTCAAGAAGAAGTTAGTTTAGCATGTGGTTGTCGTTAACAGAGTTTTACAATCTTTATCACCAGTCAACTGAACATTTTAAAGCGTAACTCATGCAAAAATCCAGCCTCAATTATATATGAGCCAAGCACAGCACGCGTTTTTATAAAGCTCAATGCGCTCTAGGCGGCGTTGATAATGAAATCAGTTGAATTTGTCTTAGTTTAGACTGAGATAAAATCACGTCGGGAGAAAAGTGGATTGTACGGATTATGACCCAAAACAAACAATCTGCTTAATATTGGGTTTAAGAAAGAACTAACCGAGATATGATGTCTGAAACGGTCTGCAATCAAGGCTGGCGAAAGACAGGTGATTTTTCAAAAAATCTTTCTACTTTTGCATGTTTGCGGCCCAGCCAAGCGATAAGCTTAACGAAGCTTAACTTTGTTTGTCTTTCCTAATTAAAACAGCCGAACCCAAAATGATTTAAACGGTGTGTTTCTACCGTACTTATACCAGATAACACTAGTCGCCCGGTTAGGGCGGTTAGCCGGTTAGTCATATGGAGGTGTTAAGCGACATTTGGACTCCGCTCAATGGAATCGGGCATCCAAGGGAAAACACGATGAATTGGTTCATAATATTAACATATTCTTTTCAATTCTATTCACGGATGAGAGCTTTCTTCCACACTAACCTACAGCACTGCCTCATTGTTTTTGAACTTTTTTTGAAATAAGATACATGCCTTTGTTTGGGCGATTGATACAGTTTCAGTAGATGCGATGTGACCAACCATACCAATCTAATAAAAAATCGGTATCTGGGGGAGATGACGAATGAGAATTATGTTTCTTTGAGAAAGAATAAAAAAACTTGAGACGGAGAGACCTCGGACATTTGCTAAGATTCTTTGAGATGTATCTTCTCTGAAGGACCCTTCGCTACATTATTATTCGCAATTATGATGGTAGTTAGCCGGTGTTGAATACAGATCTACGTATGACAGTCTATAATAAGTCGCAAATACAGGCGCTTCAGATTCTGTTAGCCATGGCATAACACAATTCATCGCTAACGGCACAACAGCTTGAATGAAACGACGCATCGCAGTTGTCACATTGGGGTCCCTTTTGGTTGGCTTTAGAAGTATATACCAATTAAAGATTAAAGATTCAAGATTAAAGGCGGTAGCAATAGACTTCACACTGATAACTTGACTTACCATTCTCTTTGGGGTCACCATTAATTACTCCAGAGTGCTTTTCTTTTCCTTTCTCGTGAGCTAACAGCGCAGCTATCACGGTCAAGGCAATCAGCAGAGAAAACAACATGAACAGCACCAAAGCCACGTTCACTAAACTCACGAAGAAGCCGCGCACCTCCGTTTTACGAACTGCACTGTACTCCGTACGGACCATGTTTGTGGACCAGAATGATGATCGGAATCAAGCGGTTCTAGGGTCGAGCAAATGGCGAACTAAAGTCCCCACTGGCGGCCTTGTCGCTGTGGTTGGGGTATAACCTGTTCTTCGGTGCCAACCGGGAGGTTGCGTAAGCAAAACTAGTGAAGCGTAGTCTAGAGGCGTGATTTTCAAATGTTACGCGACACCCTGTCAGATAATATGTATTGCTTCTGTTAACAAAACACGATTAAAAGGGTATTAGTGCTTAAATTGCATGATTCATCATCAATTTTAATTGCCTAAAATCTTTTCTTAAAAATTGCTCTTCGTTTTGGAGCGTTTTAACATTTCTCACAAATTTGCCTTTGGTTTTGCTAGCAGGTTTGACAATACCAGTATAGAATGCAATGGGTTGCTTGGTGAACACGTCGAGCGAAATGACATTAATCTAACGTGTCGCGAAATGCTTAATTTCTCGAAATCCTCTTCTTCCAGCGTTCAGTTAGTTGAGGCGCAGCGCCAAAAAAACGAGCGTCTCTGACTTTTTCACACTTCTCCTCAACTAATTCCTCGAAAGATTTTGTGCCATTCAGTTTAGATCGGAGCAAACCAGTCCGTAGGCAGAACCAGAGAAGCGTGGTTTAGGGGTAGGGGTTTATATATTATGCTGGCATTATTTTTGAGCAGAATTGTGGAACAAAAGAATCGGGAGTTAATTAAAGGGTATAGGCCTTAAGTTGGCTGAGAGTAATCCGACGCTATCTGGTCATCTCAACATAAAATTTTAAAGAGTGCTTCCGAATCGGGATTTAGCAGACATTCAACCCTCTTCTGATGCACCAGAGCAAGGTTTTTTTCATTACTAGAAAACTCATTTCGCAATAGTCGAGCCAGGCAAATGGAGGATTACATTGAGGCGTCGCTGATGGTTCAATAGAACAAGCATTAGTGAGCATAATGGGGCATAATAAACGACAGATTTAGTGAGCGTTAAGTTTCCTTCAAGTTAAAAGTAATTTTGTCGGTGGCCAAAATAACTCAAAGTACTGTGACTAAGCTCCTTTGATTGTCCACAAACGTTCGCTAGCTTCCCCTGGAGCAAAACTTTACTTATTCTTTTGTTTTGCATTCTTTGAACTGTTCATTATTTATTATTATTCTACTTGTAACGCAATCACGTGATCAAATAAACAACAACTATATACAATATCTTAAGTAACCTTGATTGTTTGCCGGAAATAGCAAAGCCA